TTTTTTTTTTTTTTTTTTTTTTTTTTTTTTTTGCCTTGATAACGCATTGCTCCCCTAGTCCAAGTTGTATTGGGCTCACCCAGCTTCTTTCCTTCTGTACACATTTTGCAAGGATGTTCATGTCTCTGGCTGTTGGGCATGTGAGGGGCCCCAATGCTGGACATTTTCAGGGGAGGCTTCCAAAGGCTTCCATGTTTCAGCTGAGCCACATTCAGAAGCCCCTTCCTCACATTTCTCTCGGGCTGGGGAAGATGAGTTCATGCTCTGATCCACACACTTCAGTGTGGCAAGCCCAGTCTGAGTGTCCGGTGCTGGCTATGTGGGCACCTGGTAGAGTGAGTCTCCTTCCTGGCACCTGTCAGAAAGGATTCCTGACCCTGATGTTCCTTTGTTGACCCCTATGCCCACATGATGAGGGCACAGCTCTCCCAACAGGTCAGGGCCACCCATGGACTAGTGGCAGCCACCTTCCCTCCAGATGGCCTCACACACTCACTCGTGCTATCCTGACCCTGCCTTTTGGCTGGGGTCACTTCCCAGCTTTCCTCAAACTTCCCACTGCAGCACCTCGTCTTCTTGGAAGGTCTCCCTACTCTCCCGCGAAGTTCACACATGCCGTGCCCAGCACATCCTCTCTGCACAGTGACCACATCATGACATTTCCCACACACTTTGGAGACAGGGAGGGAGGGAGGGAGGCAGAGGAGAGGAGACCCTATTAACCATTCAGCTTGGACATCAGCCACAAACCAGGACTCACAGGCTGACTTCATCTCTGCCATTTCACTCTGACTTGCTCAAGGCCTGAAACCATGTCACATGTGCACCCCAGTATTCGTCCCAACTCAGCACAAGGCCTTGTACTTAGACGGTGCTGATGAATGCAGTGCAGACGAAAGGATGCATGGGTGGGAGAGGGGCGGACAGGTGATGGAAGGACAGCTGGCTGGGCAGGTTCCTGAGGGAGGATTGTACTACGTACTTAAAAGCTCCAATATTTATCAGTTGAAAAACCAAAGACAAAGAAAAAAAAATCCCTCTGCCTCTGCCTGAATTCTCCAAGCTGGCCTCCGCTCCTCCCTCCAGCCTCCAGTTAAAAGTGTTGCTCGGGTCCCTCGGCAGCCCCAGCTGGAGGGCAGAGCAGACACGCCCGGGCCTCCGTTTCCATTTGGTTGCCTGTGGACGACTCCAGGAGGCAGGCAGCGGCTTCCAGCAGTGTCTTCCAATAGAGCGAGGGGAGCCTCCCCACCCAAGAAACAGCCTACTTACTTGGACTAAACACTTGGGTCTGGATGGTATAGTCCGGGTCCCCAAAATCAGGGTTTCTTTTTGCTTCTAGCATTACCTCATCACTGGTAGGTTTCTTAATTGCACACCAGTAACTTTCTCAGTGGTGGGAATGCTAATGGGTTTTTTGGGTATTTTTCTAAAACATTTTGTGTTGTTTTTTTTTTCTCGTCTCCTCCCAACCCCTCTCCCCACCCCCATTTCAGAAACGAGAAGGAATCCTCCAGTCTCGGCAAATCCAAGAGGAAATAACTGGTAACACAGAGTATGTCAACACTATTGTTGCCAGCGAGTCTGTAATGGAACACAGATGTTTCTCTGAAATTCATCCATTTGCTGATATTTAGTTTTCATTTATTGGGATTGCAGGAGGGATTAGACTACAGCCAATGATTATAGTTTAGCCTTTTCTGTGCATTCAAAACATGCCTCTCAATGCTTAAGGTACAAACTTGGGTGGGGAAGTGGGGAGAAGGGAATTAACCATGATTGAAAAATTCTAATTTTGTGGCACTCCAGGAAAAAGCATGCCCAAAAAAAGCCAACCAGCATGAAATCGTCATGCCATAAACATGGGGTGGAATTTAAACTGTTAACCTTCAAAGGGACATTTTTCTTCCTTTTCTGAGTCTGATTTATTTGGTCAGCTGCCATGAACCAGAAAGCCCCTCTTTACCTTAGCGTTGTCTTTTGGTTTTTGTTGGTTTGAGGTGTTTTCCCATTTACCTTTAGAAATTAGTGTCTCGGGACATGTAAAAGGCTTGCTGTGGAGAATGGGAGTTTTGTTCCTAAGCAGGAGGAACAGGTTAGCGTGTGGGTTTGAGACTATTGAGCAGGCCCTGAGCCTGGGCCCCACACAAAGCCAGGCGAGTTTACTTTCCAGCCTTCCCTGTCCACCCAACTTTCTTCTGTATCCTTCTTGAATAAAGCCCAACACAGTGGAAAGAACAGGAACTTGCCTCTAAGTCAGCCTGACTTGAGACCCTGAAGCTCCCGGACTCCATGTCTTTATCAGTGAGTGGGGAGCATTTCCCAACCCAAAGAAAGGATGAGGGCTTACCGTGGTGTCAGCTCTATTCTCCTGTCCGTCTTTTTTTTTTTTTTTGGTGGGGTGGGGGGATGAGACAGGGTCTCACTATGTAGTTCAGACTGACCTGGAACTCACTATGTAGCCCAGGCTGGTCTTGAACTCAGTGATCCTCCTGCCTCAGCCTCCCGAGTGCTGGGATTACAGGCATGCGCCACCACACCTGGCCCTCCTGTCGGTCTTTTATGGCTGCCCTTCCTGCTTTTCCCATCACAGCTGACCCACTCCTTCAAGCCTTGCCCATCATTAGAAAGCTCTCCCTACCTCTAGCCATGGCTGAAAGGAGTCTAGGACTCTCAATCTAGGCCATGGATGTGTCTTGAAAAGCTTCTGTGAGTTGGGCATTTCAGGGCAAGCACAGAGGGCAGAGACGTTAGCGGTCCTTCCCAAGATCCCCAGTTTATGGCTTACAGGAACCCCATCAAACAGCCCGCACAAAAGGTCACATGATCCACCAAGTGTGCCCAGTCTTGGCTGGGAGCATAGCTGCCCGGAGTCAGGCAGGCCTGCCAGGCCAGAACGGGGTCCTCGGTGTCCTCCCCACCCCTCCCCAACCCACGCCGTGCTTGTCGGTGTCCAGTCTTTGACCTTCTGGAGGAGAGAAAGCCAGACTAGAGAGCAGCGTGGCTGGGGGCATCGCCAGGATTAAGGGTGTAAGGTTTCCAGTTCCAGAGCAGTCTCTCGGCCACATAGTATGCTTTCTGTGCTCCTCCTCTCCGCCATCTCTGCCACAAGGACATAAACATGGGCGACAGCACAGTGCGAGTTTCAAGTGCCTTTGTATCTACTGGTATTCATGATACACATGAAGCAATGATTCCGCCCTTAAAGCCCCAGAGCCCAGGGCTGAATAAGGATATGGTGTCCATGGTCTATCAGTTAACTCCAGGTCATGATTCTTTCCAGGGCTTTCTGTGCTAGTTATTCAGTGAGTGATCAGTGTACAGGTGGCTAAACCAATATTGTAAGAATCATGAGAACCAAAAAGGTATTTAAAAAAAAAAAAACCCATGTGGGGCTGGGGATTTGGCTTAGTGATTCTGCCGCCTGTCTTCAAGCCCAAGGACCAAAGTTCAATCCCCAGTACCAAAAAAAAAACAAAAACAAAAAAACATGTTTTAACTATGTACTGCTAAAACCTTTCTAAGTAGCTGGGTGTGGTGGCACACGCCTGTAATCCCAGTACTTGGGAGGCTGAGGCAGGAGGATTGCTGTGAGTTTGAGACCAGCCTGGGCTACATAGTGAGTTCCAAGTCCATCTCAACTACACAGGGAGACCTTGTCTCAAAAAACCAAGAAAAGAAAACTTGTCTAGGTCTTCAGTGCTCGCAACATCCCACGGAGGTATCTATCCACCATTATCATCCTCATTTATCCCAGGTCACACAGAGAACCAAATAACAAGAATAATAATAAAAAGATTCAGTGGGACTTAAAACTAAGTAAGTGACCTATTTCTATGTTATGCTCATATGATTTTACCCCTTCTCTGGTACAAGTGTGGCTCTATTCCTGCCCCCTTGGAAGGAACCCATCAATGACAGGTGCAGCTCGGGGACGTCACAGGACAGGCAGAGACAAAGCTGACCTCCCCAGGCAGTTGCTAATAGCAACCTGGGCAGGGACGCTCCACAAGGGTCGGGGGTGCTTGACCCCTGCTCCAAAGAACCCTAATTCTCTGATTTGGACTCCTCGGCCCTTGAGTCCAATATTCTTTCTGAGCTGCAGGCAATAATGTTTTTATTTAATACCAAAAGAATAATCCTTTAAGCATCACTATGCCAGATTCGGTGTTGGTCCTGGTATATCTGTGGCAGAGGGAGAAAGAGGTGGTGATATAGTGAAGTCTCGATAATTAGAGACAGTGCAGGCTAAAATGCCACCCAAAGGAGGCTTTTCAGGCTCCTCGAGGGCAGGCGGGGAGGAGCGGGCTTCTAGCCAGGCTGGAGGGTCCTCTCGCAGGGTAGTCACGTCGCTCGCTTTCTCTTTTGTTCCAGGGCTCTTTCCGGAAGGCACGGTGAGTTGCGTGAGTTTGTCACCTGGCACTGCACTGTGGCGGGTGCTGGTTATTTCTGCAGCAGCTGGGGAGAGCAGGCACTCAGCGTGCTGCCTGCACGTGCGATTGCCCCAGCCTGGTGACACAGCTGGAGGACAGCTGACTGGGGGAAGCAGTGCCTTGCTGCATCTGCACCGTCCTGGTGCCTGCAGGGCCACTTCATGCTGTGCATGTTACAGAAATACAGAAAGAGGTGCCTTAACACACTCTGGGACTGTCCCCTCTCCCCGCTCCCCTTTCCCAGGTCTTTGGACTTTCTAGGGCCCATGGATGTCAGAGAGCATCTTTCCAGCAGTCTCCACCTTGCCCGTCAGCACATTTGCCTCTCCTGTTCTTAAAAATGGGGGGGGGAGGCGATTGGATATTCGGCTAACACTGTACCTCCAAAAACTGATGCCCACCGTGAGGAGAAAGGCCTGGTTCCAGGGCACACCATTGGATAGGCACCCGTGTCCTCTCCCAGAGCCTTCCCTGTCCCTGCCTCGGGTCGCTCCACTTTTCACCCTTGATCCTGGAGAATATGGCAGCTGTGCACGTGCTAGGCATCCCTGCGGGCAGCGTGACCTGTGTTCTAGCAGCCCGCTGTCCGCTACAGGTCGTATTTTGGAATATTTTAATCGTGCTAAACACAGTGCACATCAGTAGAGCCTGGGCACAGTCTTGGGACAGAATCGGGGGAAATGCACTCTCGGGTGCTGCTTTACAGATGAGGAAACTGAGGCACAAAGAGCTGACGTGGCCTAGATCCCCAAGGAGCAGGTACTGTCCTAGAGCTGAGTCCCTGTCCTCATTTCTGTGCCTTCTGCCAGGATGTTTGCCTTGGCTATGTTTTAGAAAATTAGGGGGGGGACATGATTGGATACTCAGGTGACAAGAACACTTTCGAACCATGACTGCAGCCCGAATATCAATAGAATGTCCACAGTGAGGACAAAGGACCTATCCCGGGCCGTACCCCTGACAGATGGCCCCCGTTCTGCCCAAGGAAAGGCTGACACGTGGACACACAGAAAAACACCAAAGGGAAGACCCCAGCACCCCCTCTTCCCCAATGCCTTCCCAGGGTAGCTGCTACTACACATGTGGCTTTAAAGACTCGTGGTCTGGAAGCTGCCAGGTTCCAACCACAAACCCACCCTGTGCGTTCGCTGTTATGATGTCTCCCTCTTTCAGAACGCGATGCCTTTGACACCTTGTTTGATCACGCACCAGACAAACTCAACGTAGTAAAAAAGGTGAGACCGGGGTGCCTGGGGGTAGCGAGGATGGTGGGCTGCGGCACGATGTCAGGGCAACCCATCCCTGCAAACGCAGAGGTCCCCAGTGTCTATCTGCTCCCAGCAGCGCCTCCCCCGGGCCCCTTCTTCCCCCCTTGATGCCCGCCTCGCTGTCCACCCATAGTGACCCCAGCCTTTCCGGCTCCTCACACAGCATTACCCTGTCCCTGGGCACAGGCAGCTGTGCCAGCAGAGAAGGGGTGGGGAGGAGGGACCTGGCTGGGCATTTGTCTCTGACCCCCGAGCCTGGGCTCAGACATCCCACCTGTCATCCTGCCCCGCACCATGTGGGCCGGCCAGGCAGAAGCCCACGCCTCCCCGTGAGCCCAGGTCCTCACAGCCGTCCCCGGGCAGCCCCTCGTGTGGCACTGGCCGGAGTTGTCTTCTCAGTGCCTTGTGATGCTTTCAGACGCTCATCACATTTGTGAACAAGCACCTGAACAAGCTAAACCTGGAGGTCACGGAACTGGAAACCCAGGTAGGTGGCAGCACACTGACCCCGAGCCAGCAGGGTGTCTGCAGACCCAGCCTTCCACACTGGCGGGGGGCAGGCAGGGTCTCTCTCCCCAGAGCTTACAGGGTGATGGGCTGGGCTCTGTGGATTCTCCCACGCTGTTTGTATTAAAAAGTGGCAGAAATGAATACCCGCGCACGCTTCCCCTGGACGTATGACTGTTAGCACTTGGCTATACTCTCCCTTCAGCCCTAAATATGATACCTACATCTCTGAAGAATAAATATATTCTCTTAATCACAGCATGATCAAATGCAGGCAGTTGACACTGATGCAATCCGTTCATCTATTTAGATCAAATTGTATGGATTTTTAATATTTAGCTTTCTTGAACTTATGATTCTCCCACCTCAGCCTCCTGGGAAGCTGAGAATACAGGCCTGTGCCACCACGCCTGGCTGGGAGGCTTTGACCAACGAAAATGGCAGCCTTACATGGTTGGAGAAACACTCTCTCTATTCTACCAGCTCTCCCAGTCTCCTCCTGCCCTGTCTTTAGCTATTATATTCCTCGGCCTCTTTAATCTGGAATAGCTTGGCCTTTCTTGTAGGATACTGGCATTTTTGAAGAGTGCTGGCCGGTTGGTTTAAAGAACATCCCTCGGTTTCTGTCTTCATGACGGTATTTCAGGAACAGCCCTCCCTGGGTGACACTATGTTCCTCTCAGTGCCTCAGGTGATGACATTTGTCCCCACTAGCCCCATTACTAGAGGTGGCCTGGTGAAGGTGGTGCTCACTTCCCTTTTCCATCCACATCTATATCTATAGGCTTAACTCTGTGTGTGTGTGTGTGTGTGTGTGTGTGTGTGTGTGTGTGTGTGGTGCTGGGATTGAACCCAGGGCCTTGCACATGCTCAGCAAGTGATCTAACACTAAAACACTTGCCCTGCCCTAACAACTACCCTCTGACACAGTGTACCCCAACTCTCATGTCTTGTTCTGGATGAATTTCTGTTTTCTTCCAAGTACCTGGATGCCTCTCAGCTTTTGTAAAGGCATCACAGGGTCTCTCCCCAAGTTGTCCTCACCTGGGTCTGGACTCTGTGGAATAAGTTTCATACTCTCAAGGAACATTCTGGAAAGGGTTTCCTGGGCAGGGCTCCAGTGGGATCTGAAGTCCCTTCAGTGTTCTAGGGGAGTCTCTGCCCCGTGCTCCAGCGTCCATGGTTGTGACCTGCTGTTCCCACTCCGTGGGCAGAACTAGCCATCACAGGTGGGAAGCAGTCTGGCTGACCATGGGGCTCTGAGTCACCTGCTCCTGGCACAAGGTCCCTGCTGGGTTCACAGATGGGATTCTTTTGTTCTCAGCCTATTCTGGCCACAGCCAGTTGCCTGGCCCCCAGGGGGAGGGCGTTGGTTTCCTCACAGTCTGGGATCTGCTCTCCTGCGTCCACCCTGGGTGGTGTGAGATGAGTCATGCACAGGCCCTACCCACCCAAGGGCCCTGTGGAGGCCGGGAGGCACTGCCCTGGTCATGGCCTTCACCACAGCCCCCAGCCAGTCACCCCACAGAAGCTCAGCAAGCATGCACTGGGCCCACACTTCAGTCTGGGCCCTTTTGTCTTCCTGAGCTGAGGCCAAGACATTTGGCCTCTTGGAACCCTCTTGTTCACAGCCACGTGCAGTAGTGGCCCAGCCTCCTCTGAAAGACTCTAGAACTTCAGATATCCACTGACCTCTGGCCAATCAAGTCACCCCACACCTGGAGCACCACTCAGCCTAGCCCCACAGCCCACCATGTTCTGCCCCCTTGGCCTCCTAGCTGGCTCTGTCCAGTGAGGGGCACGGCGCTGAGCCTCCTGCCACAAGTCATGTTTCCATGGTTCTGCCTGGCCTGCGGAGCTCACAGATTGAGTCCTGATTGCTTTGTTGTCTTCCCAGGCGGTCCTAGCAAGAGTTGATATTTATTAAGTGCTGCCTACGTGCCAAGCACTTCGCAGGCCCTTGGCTTGTATTAACTGCTTTAGTCTCCTCAGAGACCCCACTGCATCATTCCCGTTGTACAGATGAGAAAAAGGAGGTGCATAGGAGTTACAAGTCCCTGAGGCCTAGCTCCCAAGCAGTGAGGAAGTGAGGTGGGTGGAAAAGATGGCTTACGGGTCACCGCTCTGTCTTCAGAAACCAGAAGTCACCCAAGTAGCCTTGAGCCATCTGCCTTGAACATCACTGTTCCTTCCTGTACCCTTCCCCAGCTAACTCCTCATCCCGCCTCTCCCTCTTCCTCTCTGATGCTTTCAGAAGGCCTGGGTGACCCTTTTCATCCCACTCAGAGCAGCAGCTGCGTTGCCTCCACTGCACTCCCCCCACCGCCCCGAGTGTGAGCTCCTTGTGGGCAGGAGCCACCCTTGACCTGCCCCTGGTCCCCATGCCCGCATCGTGATATCCTGAGATAAAAGCTGAGCCCAGGGTCACGGGCTGTGACCCCTGTCAGCAGATGCCCTGCCTCAGAGCAGACTGGGGTAGCCTTTTGGGGGTGACGTGGTGGCAGATGAGCCCCAGGTAGAGCCTGGCTGGGAGGCTGAGGGCTGGTCCACCCCTGCCTTTCCCTGGCAGTTTGCAGATGGCGTGTACCTGGTGCTGCTCATGGGTCTCCTGGAGGGCTACTTCGTGCCCCTGCACAGCTTCTTCCTGACTCCAGACAGCTTTGAACAGAAGGTAAGGGGGCGGGGAGGAGGGCATAAGGGAAACCCAACCCACATCGTGGCCGGTGGATGCCACCTCTCTGCCAGTCAGTGTCAGAGGCAGCACTCGTTCCCATGAGTGGCCCTTCTTGTCCCCTCGCTATAGCGGCCCTGGTCCCCTGGCCCTGTGTTCCTTCTGAGTACCCAGCCCGCCTCATCTCTCCCTCCAGAGATGACGGGACCATGGCCACAAGACTGGTCAGACCCCAGGCCCATGCCCAGCCTCGTTCTGACAGCCTCCCATCAGCCATCCTGTCCTGCTCACATGACAGGAAGCAGTTGGTCCAAAGCAGGGATCTGCCTCTTGAACATGTCTCACCATCTGACACTGCTGTGTGCGCTCTGTCGTTCACCCAAGTTTGAAGTCCCAGCCATTCGCACAGGAACATGCAGGACAGGAGGAATGCTCCTCCAACAGTGGCCAGCCTGCCCCAGCGTGGCCTGTCCATTTCCATATCCATGTTCTTCTTCAGCTTAGCTCAGCCTGTCCCCTGGGGGTCTAGGCTGAGTGCGCAGAGAATGACGCATGTGTTGCATCTCTCTTGCCAGGTTTTGAACGTGTCCTTTGCCTTTGAGCTCATGCAGGATGGAGGGTTGGAAAAGCCAAAACCACGGCCAGAAGGTACTTTGCTCTTTCCTGGGCTGAGGACAACAGGGCAAGGTGTTCTTCCTGCATGTGCATGTTTGGGCAGCAGGGAGGGGCTCCAGTTTTGTAGCAGAGGGGAGAGTTTCTTTCCTGGAGACGCCTTTGTTGGTCACCAGGGAAGATGGGGCTGGGTGCAGGCACTCGGTCCTGGAGATGCTTTGTGAGCGGCTAATCACACGACCATGGGAAGAAAGAGTCTGAAATCCCAAATGTGGGATCAGGGCCCAAGTAGAGGCACTGCTGCAGGAATTGTCCTTGCCCAAGTCCTTCTGTCCTTGCACAGGACACTGACCTGCCAGCTGCAGCCGAGCGGGTCAGGGGCCTGCCAGTCAGCCCTGCACCCAGTCTCCAAGACAGTGGGCAACTTTCCAGCTCCAAATCTGCCCAGCAAAGAAGCTTAGTTTTCCAAGTTTAGGTTGCAAATACAGTAGTACCTCCCTGTCCATGGAGAATCAGTTTAAGAACCCTGAAGGGTACCAAAATCTACCCATGTACAAGTTCCTAGCATAAAACAGCGTCGTGTTTACATATAACCTGTGCACATCCTCCTGTATACTCTAAACTACCTCCAGACAACCTGTGATACGATATATATGCTGTGCGGATGGTTGTTACACTGTATCATTTAGGGTAGATGACAAGAAAAAACCCCATACGTGTCCATACAGATGTGATTTTTTGTTTTTGAATAGGTATGGACCAAATTTGGTTGAATCTGTGGATGTGAGAGCCACAAAGACACAGGGCTGGCTGCACAAGCCTAGGGGAGATGCTCCCCTGCTCGTCCAGGCTGTGTGTGTGCCCTTGGGAGTGGGAGGCGCATTTCTCCCGGTTGTCTCCATAATACAGACATTTATTTTCTACCACTCACTCACTGCAGTATTCCCTTTCAGCAGGGCTGGTGAGTCAGGATTGTGTCACGGATAATGTGTGTTTATGTCAAATCAGAGCGCTGGCTGTGGGTCCTTGAGCTTTCACTTTCCTGGTCATTTAAAGGCAAGGGGACAAGTAGAGGTACAGTGTGACACCCCTGCTGCCACTGCTCCAGCCTTTACCCTGACCTCCACACAGAGGGGCCTGGCTCTGGTCCAGTGGGCCTGGGACCTTGCATATCCTGATACACCAAGAGGGGTGACCCCATCCCTGAGCTTGGGGTTCTGCAGCCAACCAGGCAGGAGAAAGGAGGCTCCGGTCACCCCAACAGAATGACTGCTGTAATTGCAGCCACAGAAGAGGCACAGCCACGAGGCTGTGGGGATGGAGGCGGCAAGACCACTTCTGCTTAAGCACAGTGAGAAATGAGGATGGTGACAGTCAGGCTAATGCGTGAGGATTAGGAAGAAGTCCAGTGTGGGGCAAGAGCGAGTCTGAGTCCCACCTGGCTGTCGGCAGCCAAGAAAGGTCAACCCCTTACTCTCCTCTGGTCCCACTATGCCCTGAGCCCCGGTGACATTTAGGGAGGACCTCCAGCGTAGCTTATGCCTCCCTGGCAAGGCCACCGTGGCTATCCGAATGCTGCCAGCCAGAGCGGGGGGCAGGCGAGTTGTGTTTGTCCCTTCGGCTGCTGTTTGCTTCAACTGCCTCATGCAAAACTTTGATTGCAGTTTGGAAATACTTTCTCTGATAGTTTGTTGTTCGGGTGTTGATTTCCCTTAAGACAGGTGATTCCCCAGTGTCAGTCAATCTGTGAGACTGTGTCAGCGTCTAGATGACATTTCTTGGGCAGGGATAGAACTGCTTCCTATGAAACTTGCTGAGCAAAGTGAATGGAAAAACACATCTGCTTTGTTTGTTGTTACCCTGGGCATGGTGCCCACGCTGAAAATTTCCAGTGCATAAAGGAGAACTGAAATGATGTGTCCTGAAATCGGACCGGGTGAGAAGTGAATCCCAGCATCCCTCCGAATCTGGGCTTCCACCTAGACTGCGAAAGGCCCCAGTAAAGGCTGCGACTTTGCACAGGGTGCCAACGTGGCTGACCCTCGGAAGATGTCTCCAAATCAAAGTGGCTATGGTGGAGGCATTTTTATAGCAAAATGACTTTATGATCAGGCAAATGCACTGTTGGCTGTGTTTTTTTGATCTGCAAAGGTCTCTTGGACCTTGAAATCCCCTAGAAACTTCAAGCCTACAGCTCAGGTGTCTTCTGCTGCCCAGGCTTCACGACCTTTTTGTACTCTAACTAATGGAAACCAAGGGTGACAGCATCGAGGTCATAACCAATGCAGCAGCTAAAATACCAGCATGAAGCTAGGAGCTTTTTATTTAGGGTGGCACGGGTCTTCAAAATATCTGTGCCTCTCCCATTGGCACGTTCAAGTAGACTCGTCACTGGATGTGGTGGCTAAGAGCCCAGGACAGGCAGGTGGCACTCAGAAGAGTTCTAGGGCCAGGAAGGACTGAAGTCCACAGGGTAACCAGTAGCCCAGTAGAGTATCTAAAATGTGAGGAGTCTCATAGTTGGGATCCAACTAGGGTAGGAGATGCTGAAAAGCCAGGCAGGTGTCAGCAGCACAAATCCAGTGGTCCACTCACCTGGGGACTTAGCCTGTGGCTGACAGTGGGAACCTGTCAGCCTCCCTTCCCCATTTGCCTAGGAGATAAGAGTACAGGAGCCAGCAGTGGCAAAAACATTAAGCTCTGACACTAGCGAGTGTTAGCAGAGATAGGGAGCAACAGTAACTACTGGTGTCAGTGAATCGATACTCATTTCAGAAAATGGTCCTTGTCTAATGCAGTGGAAGATTTGTGATACCCCACCTGGCAGGCAAAATAATACTTCCTAAAATAAGTCTACGTGCTGGTTCTTGGAATCTGATCATATGTTACCATGCATGGCAAAGGAACTTTACAGGTATTAAATTTATGATCTTGAGATAAGGATATTATCCTAGATTATCCAGGTAGCCCCAGTGTAATCACAGCTCCTTCTAAGGGCAACAGGGCAGCAAGAGAGTCAGAGTGATGACACAGGCTCACACCCCAGGCCTGACTGGAGGAGAGCAATGGGCCAAAGAATACAGAGAGAGAGCCCTAGAAGCTGGAAAAAGCAAGTTAAAAGGATTCTCCAGTAACGCCTCCAGAAGGAATGCAGCCCTGCCTACCCCTTGGACTTTAGCCCAGAGAGACCCAGTTTGGACTTTTGACCTCTAGAACTGTGAGATAATGAATCTGTGTCATTTTAGGCCGCCTTTGCGATCATTTGTTGCGGCAGTAATAGGAAATCTCTTCGTGCTCCAGCCCCATCGTTCTCCTCACAGGAACGCTTGTCCATGTGTCTCAGTCACTTTCCTGTTGCTGGGATGAAATACTGGACACCTGAAACTTGAAGCAGGAGATTTTTGGCTCACATTTTAGAAATTTCAGGCCTTGTGAGGTTGGCTTGCTCCAGGCAGAAGCAGCATGGCAGAGGGGCCTGGCAGAGGAAGAGCAGTTCACATCATCATGGTGCAGACAGGAAGCAGGGTGTCAGGGGAGGAGCCAGGAAGGAGATAAACCCTTCCGGGTCATGCCCTCGGTGACCTGCCTCTTCCTCCCAGATCTCAACTCTTAACAGCGAATCAGCTGTGTCATCCCCATGATTCGGTCACCTTCCAAACATGGCTTTGAGGACCACTTCAGATCTAATATGCCAGGAGAACGTTCCAAGAATTCCCACGGTAGAACTCTTGAACATTGTTGGCGGGAATATAAATTGTTATAACCACTAGGTAAAACAGGATGGAGGTTCCTCAAAAACTTAAATTAAAACCACCATGTATCTCGTAATCTCACTACTGGGTATCTATCCAAAAGAAATGAAATCAGTATGTCAGAGAGACACCTGCCCTCCCATATCGAGTATAGCACTATTCACAATGGCCAAGAAATGGAAACGAGGTAGCATCCATCAACTGATGAGTAGATAAAGAAAATGTGTTATATATACACTGTGAAATACTATGCAGCCATTAAAAGAATGAAATCCTGCCATTTGTGACAATATGAATGCCTGGGCTGCACAGTGAGCTCCAGGTCAGTCTCAACTACATAGTGAGACCCTGTCTCAAATATGAATGGGCCTGATGGGCATTATATTAAATGAAATAAGCCAGGCACAGAAGGACAAATACTGCATGATCTCACTCATATGTAGAATCTAAAAAAGGTGGTATTATAGAAATTGAGAATAAAATACTGTAGTGGTTACCAGAATCTGGGGAGAGGAGGAGCTGGAAGAGGCCAGTCATCGGTTGTAGAAGATAATCAGACAGAAGGAACAAATTCTATGCTGTATTCTCCAGCAGATAATATAGTTAACAACAATATCCTGCATATTTCAAAGTAACTAGCAGGATGGACACAGTTAACAATATTTTGTTGTATAAATCAAAATAGCTACAAGAGCTGGGTGTGGTAGTGCACGCTTGTAATCCCAGCACTTGGAGGCTGAGGCAGAGAGTTTGAGACCAGCCTGGGCTGCACAGTGAGTGCCAGGTCAGTCTCAACTGCATAATGAGACCCTGTCTCAAAAAAAATACCAACAACAACAAAAAAAATAGCTACAAGACAGGATTTTGAATACTCTTACTGCAAAGAAATAAGTGTTTCAGGTGATTGTAACCCATAAATATAATTATCATATCAATGAAAAATTTAAATATTTTTAAAAGAAAAGAATACACATGATATTCAAAACTTGGGACAGTTCTCAGATGGACCTGGGCCTGGTGGCGCACACCCATAAATTCAGGATTGTGGGAGACTGAGGCAGGTTGATTGCAAATTTAACTGGGGCAATTTAGTGGCTTAGCCTGTCTCAAAATTTAAAAAGTTTTTAAAGGGCTGGGGTTCATTGCCAAGGCCTTGGTTCAATCCCTTGTACCACAAAAAAGAGACTCTGACGTCAGTGACATGAAAGGCACTGAGTGTGTCCTCACCCCTCAACCGGAGGCTGTTTTCTCCTGGAATTGCCGTGAGTTCCATTTGTCTCTCCTTAGCCCCAGCATCTGGCAGGCTCTGACCAGTGCCCCAAGTCCTGACCCCTGACAGCAGCCTCGGGCAGCATACAGGCAGTCAACAGTCCTAGTTGCTAACTCCACAATTGATCAGGCCAAGGCTTGAAGCAGGCTGTCTGTGTAACATTGGGTCACAGTACATTCCCAGAAACCCAAGCCCCTCTGCCAAGATAGAGCAGGCTTCCATGGTCACCCACTTCGCCTGGGACTACTTGGGTGGCCAGCCGTTGGCTTTCCTGACAAGAACTGATGACACTCCGTAGCTGTGACTGTGGTCTCCTCTGCCCTCAGCCACCTGGGGTGGTAGTGACAGCAAGAAATGGACTTAGGGCTTAGTCTTTGGGAATGGTGACCCCTGGAGTTGTCCAGTACACAGACTGCACCGATGTACACAACAGCTCTGTTAATGAGGCCCTTTTCTCTGCATGGAGAGTTCCTGTGCCCTCCTTGGCCTTCCTTGATGAGGGGAGGCAGCCTGGGGCCAGTGGCCCACCCTGTCCCCGCTGACGTCCAGGCATCCACCTTTTTCTCTCACACCTTGTGAAGGTCAGAGGCAGAGGGACAGGAGCCTTCGGGACAGGCGAGACTCAGAGCAGAGTCGAGCCGGGGCCCCTCATCTGGACATGCCTTTTCCAGGACACAGCCTGGTGCCTGCTTTACTGCAGGGAGGTGACTTCCTGTGCCCCAGACTTCTCTGCTTGCTTCCTCTGTCCTCCGACTCTGCCATCCTTCCACCCCCACCTGTCCCCAGCTGCCATGAGCCAGCCCAGGACCAGGCTGGACAGATGGGGATGAGTGGCGGATGGGCGAGGAGAATCATTGCCAACTTTGGAGCATGCAGCCCCACTGAGGCACGTGGTGTTTTTGTTTCTCTGCAGACATTGTCAACTGTGACCTGAAGTCCACACTGCGAGTGCTGTACAACCTCTTCACCAAGTACCGGAATGTGGAATGAGGGCCCGGGTTGCCACGGCCCAGTGCCTCTCACTGCAGGCAGACTGGACCAGCCCCCAAGTCGCCTTTCCCTGCCTTTTCCTGTCCCCTGCTCTGTGCTCTCCCACAAGCCCCTTGTTGGCAACCCAGGGATAGCGGAAAGTGGAATTGAAATCTGGAAGGAAGTGACCAATAAGCCTGTGGGCTGACCCTACCTCCCAGGCCCCCGGAACTGACCCCACTGTGACCCAAGAAAGCCGTCCCTATCCAGGTGCCAGGCACACACGTCCCTCCCTGTGGTTTGGGAATAAGCTCAGGCACGAGTCCCGGGAAGATGAAAATAAAGACCATAGTTACCATTAACGGGCATAAACTATGCCAGGCACCACACTTAAGTGCCCTGCTGGATTCAGATTCATTAACCCTCACGACTCCACAGAACTTGATGTTATAATCCTCTTTGGCAGATGAGGAAACTGAGGTTCACAGGTTGAGAGCCTTGGCAGGAGGGGTTGGCATTTGTTAGGAACCGGTCAGTTACGGCACACACCCCTGATCTCACCGTGAGGGCAGGTCAGGGCTGGCTGATTCACACTGAAACTGGCAAATTGAATTTAACCCAATTAATAGTGTGTGTGTGGCACCAGTCATGTCCCTCAAATCCTTTGTACAAATGAAAATTACTCTTAATTCCTTCAGATTTATAATAACCCCATACTCTGGTTTCATGGTGACATTTGGGAAGGATTCTGTTTAGAATTAATGGAGTGGCACATTTTGCAGCCTTTTTGCTTGATTGCATGTAATGGAAATGCCCTATATTTCCCTGCAAAATAAGTACTCAATTCATTATCGTTAGGCAAATGTACAATATACTTAGGCATCACAGAGAGCTGGGCACAGGCCCATATGAGCATCGCTTGGGAAGTAGGGCTCTTCAGCGGAGACCCTTGAACTTTGAAGAAAGGAACTCCTCTCTGCCTTCTAATTGATCATTTAGACCAGCCTAGCTAAGTCTGCCCACATGCAATTACCAGCTAATTCAGGAGAGGAAAAATGTAAGTCATTTAGACCAAAGCAGAGCAGTTCCCTTGCGTGGGTGACTGACGGGCTTGTGGTTACTTGTATCTCCTGTATGTGAACCTGTCATTGAATTACAGAGCTCTCCTTGTGCCAGCCTGCCTCTGGGTCCAGTAGGGAAAGGAAAGGGGGATTAGGGAGGTAGGGAGCCAGAGCCCAGGGGAACAAGAAGCAGGGGGGAAATATTTGCACACTTAACATATAGGGGAATAGCCTCAGAGACAAGAAAGCGTGGCTTATGGTACTTAACACTTTTGCCCTAAAATTGACCAAGGCCTTGGGATAATCATCGTTTGCGCCGATAGTATATCTTCATTAGAGAATTTTCAGGAATCCACCAGTTAAGTACAGCCAGTGTAGCCTCCTCCAGAATTGTGTGACTACCTTGTCACTAGCCCATTTCTGGTCTGAGGAATTTCTACACCATCATGAGTCAGGCCTCCAGTTGTCCAAAACATTCCTTTAGCTTTCTCATCGCTTACTATATCGTCTCTCTGCAGTAACTCAGAACCAGAGATTTCAATACACTTCATATTTCTTTGGATAGTTTGCTCTAAGAAAGAACTGTTACTCAGCATACTAAACATTTAGGATGTAAAGGGAATGCACCGTCTTGTGTCAATTTACGTATAAGAATGTAATTCTTTTCTACCCAGTGAAACATGTTTATCTTTGGGAAATACTAAATATTAGTATAATGTTTCTTGTTGCTTTTTAAAATGTCTTGTAGCAAATAAAAATTAAAAAAAATGCTTGGTCTCCTTAAGCAATACAAAGTGGGATAAAATAAGAGAAATGCATTCAGTCAAATATGTTTTACTGAATAATGCTTGTCTCCTTTTTTTTCATTTTTCCCTTTCATTCAGGGTGCAAATGTGCAGGTATCTTTATTAACAGCACTCCTTTTTAAAATGTATTTGCATAATGAAAACATACTGGAACACTTGGGAAGGTTTGGGTTTTTTTTTTGTTTTTTTTGTTTTTTTTTTTTGAGACAGGGTCTCACTATGTAGTCAAGATTGACCTGGAACTCACAATGTAGCCCAGGCTGGTCTCGAACTCACAGCAATCCTCCTGCCTCAGCCTCCCAAGTGCTGGGATTACAGGCATGCGCCACCATGCCCGGCCTGGAAAGATTTTAAATAACAGTTCTAACTTATCAGAAAACTGTGCTTCAGGATAGATCATTCCAGAATCAAGGGGTGTGGCTCTGGCTTTATAACCCTGTCATCTCATTCCTACAGATTCTGGAATTTCCTACTGAAGATATGTCCATGTTTGCAAAAGGAGAAAGATGCAACAGAATAATAACACTGCAAACCAGACTGTACCTTCATCTCCAGGGCAGAGGGCAGAGAAGAAACTGAAATATGACTCAAGTCTCAGGCTGAAGGAGTAACTCAGTGGCAGAGCTAGCCTGGCACATATAAGATCCCGAGTTCGATCCCTGGCACTGAAGAAAGGAAATTAGTCCCTGCAGATTTGTAGTACGGATTCCCTTGTAAATTTAAATTCACTATTATTTTAATAGTTAATACAAAAACAGTACAAAATTCACAAGGCATAAATGGGTATTTCCATCTCTCTTCCCCTCAGCGGCCAAGATCCTCAGCTGTTTTGATCATTTCTTATGCACACTTCCAGGCGTACTCCAAGCAGATAAAGCCTGACCTACATGTAAAACCTTTGGGTTTTAAAAAATATATAAATAGTTCATTTTACATGTCATGCACACTGATTTGGTATTTTTTTTTCATGTTATTATATCTTGGAGATTGCTTTACATTGGGTATTTACAAAAATCTTTCTACATTTCAAAATGAGAATGTGAGTGCTTTGTAAGCCCATACACAACCTCCCAGCTGGAGCTGGGAAAGGCAGACCCTGCCGGAGGAGAAACCGCCTCTTCTGTGAGGTGCAGGGGTGCAGGCAGCGAGGCGAGGGGCCTGGTTCCAAAGGGATCTTCAGAGGCCTGGGACTGAACTTTTAAAAAGTTCTCTTTGAAAACATTATGATCAACTGTGTCCGCTTTTTCTTTTCTTTCGGTGCTGGGGGTAGAACCTAGAGCCTTGTTCATGTTAAGCACGCATACTACCATTGGCTACACCTCTGACCCCAGCCCAATTATATACAATTTGATTAAGGTTTCATTGTTGCATATTACTAGGTCTACTAATCTGTAATTGACTAAGAATGAATTACAAAGTTTACCAAGAGCCCTACAGTATGGTTCTTCAAGTCCAGCTACCAGTCTCACAGTTTGGTACAGTCAAAGGCTCCAATTTCCTATGTGCAGGTAGAGTTGACATTTCCAAAGTCTGGGAAAGGGTTTCTCCATCAGCACACGAACAGTGTTTCCTTGAGTTGGTTGCAATTTTCAACTCCTGCCATTGGTACTTTTTAATTAGGAATTACTGTTAGTGAAGCTTTATCATTACCTGTTTATTTTGTTGTGGGTTACTTGGTTAACCCTACAGAATACATTGAAGCTTATTTGCATTAACAGTATTCTAGGGCTACAATTTTCCAATAACTAGTCTCTACGACATGTATACATTGTGGTTCCATTGTGAATCATTCCACTCCAGCCCTAGAGCAAATGTATACATAATCCACCCCCTCCAAATTGCCACTAATTTATTTTTCCACTGGAAAATGAGATAGATGGAGTTGGTAGGTCAACCAGTTTTGCTGTGCCTAAGTGAGGACAGACCAAAAATAATTCGGGATCCACTGCCTTTTATAAAGCCCACTACAGGAATCCTGGCTATATAGTACAACCTATCTGTACAAGACAGAGAGATCCTGAGATCTTCACTAATTCCAATACTGCGTGTCATTTCCCCCATGAAACTCACTTAGGTCTGTTCAGAAATTCAAGAGAGTGGCTGCTGATACTGAGAGCAAAAGAACCGCACTGAAATCAACTCAGGGACCAACCTGCATGTATCAGGCTTCCTAAATATTCGCAGAGTCAAGTCTTTTGGAAAGAGAAATCCGTGGGAGTCCGTCACACAAAGGTTATATGCATAAATACTAAGTCTCTGCTTTTTTTTTTTTTTTTTTCCTTTTCTCTGAAAAATATAAGCTTGGGAAAGCTCCCAAAATCTGCTTATGGCCCCGTCTTTCCTAAAGTGGCAGCAGCTTGTGTGAATGTGTACATATGTGCTCCTGGCAGCTCTGCACGGTGACTGTGCCCAAAACAGGACGAATCACCCCAGACCAAGGCTGGCCACTCTGAGTATTGCAGCCTTCCCAGGTAGGGAGCTGCCAGCGGAACATCTTAAAGTACGTTCCATCGGATATTGATAGACATTGGGTGGAAAATGTCAAGTTTGGTAATGTAAGGCTAAGAAGTTAGGCCAGCTTGATTTGAGTTTTGTTTTTGTTTTCTAATGGGAGCCCATCTCAGAGTTTCCCACACTAATGAATATCAGTACTCCTAAAGGAAAACAGAACAAGGAGCCCAGAGACAGCGTTCCTTGTTGACCGTGGGACTCATTTGTTCCTTAAAAATGGCTAGGATCAGTGCTCGGTGGCACTCACCCACTCCTTTAGCCAGTTAGCCACAGATTCAGCAAGTATCGACTGAGTGACTACTCACAGTCTAGAGAAGGAGACACACACGGCGTAGTGCAGTGGTGGCGAACCTGTGGTATACAAGCTATTTGTATCACTGAAAGCTCTAAAAGGTTCGCCATCCCTAGCTTAGTGTTAGATATTATGATAACCACTATAGAGAAGTACAGTCTGCCTTCCGTGCACAAGTTCTGCATCCACAGATCCAATCAACCACAGGTCAAAAAGATTTTTTAAAGTTTATATATGTACTGAACATGTCCAGACTTCTCTTAGCATTATTCCCTAGCTGATACAGTAGAGTAACTGTCCACATAGCATTACATTGTCCTAGGAATTAGAAGTCATCTATCTGCCACCTGCCTTGCAAGCACAAGGACCTGAGTTTGATCCCTGGTAAAAAAAAAAAAAAAAAAAAAGTCATCTAGAGATAATTGAAAGCACAGGGGAAGAGGACTGCACAAGTTACATGCAAGTGCTGCCCCCTTTTATATCAGGAGCTTGGGTAGTGCAAGAGTGAAGCACCTCAGGGTGGTCCTGGAGCCCGCCCCCACCAATACAAAGGGATGACTGACTGTACTGAAATCTGAAAGAGGTCTGATTTAGATTTTGAAATCGGGAGAGGTCTCTGGCAAAGTGACATTTTAAAAGTAACCTTGCAAGCGGAAGGACCCGAGTTCAATCCCCGGTACCAAAAAATAAATAAAATAAAAGAGTCGAGCACAGAGCCTGCCATTCACGGGCACAGCAAGGCTGAGTATTCCCCGGCAGGAGACTTGGTTCCCTGGAAGACGTGGTGGGAATCCAGAATGGCTAAAGTAGGAGGCATTAAAAGAAGATGTGTCAGATTGCAAGCATAAGAAAGAAGAGAAACATTTAAAATGGTTCCACTATGTGGGAAGCTATGTGAGTGACACGGAGGTCTGCGACTGCCCTCCTTATCTCCAGACCCTGGTCATGGCTGGAGAACAGGAAAGGAGATGGAGCTTATGCCTGCCACACCCCCAGGCTGGTCGCCATGACGACTGCTGGGCAGCCCTCCCGGCAGGCGCCCAAGACTGCAGAGGCAAGAGGGGCTCGTAGGCCAGCCCCAAACTCTCTGCATGCTACCTGCTGACGCTGAATGAGGCTAAAAACCACCAAGGGTAGCCATGCTGCCAAGCTTCTCATGGCAGAGGGTGCCTGTTTCATTCCTGTGTGGGTCCCATGGCAGACATAAGAATGCTGTCATCCAGCGTGTGTAGCATAAGGTACAGCTGTCTGTTGGTATGCACCTCCAGGATCCCCTGCACATACTCAAGTCCCTTTGATAAAATAGCATAGTTGCTGGGCACAGTGGTGTAACCCTGTAATCCTAGCTACTCTGAAGGCTGACACAGGAGGATTGCAAGTTCAAGGCCAGCCTGGGCAACTGAGCAAGACCCCATTTTATAGAAAACACATCAACAGTTGAGTGTCTTGTGATACATCATTCAAAGGTAGGTTTATTATTTGCTAGGGGTTTTGAAATGCCAGAAATAAGCTAAGAATCCCTTGTTGGAAGAGCTCCTTGTTGGAAACTGGTGGGTGGCTGCCTGAGACAGATGCTCCTCCTTGGTGGCCCCAGGACCTGAGCAAGCTCACTCTTGCCTCTACTTCTCCCAACCTTCCACCTGCAGGTGAGCACTAGCTTCAGTGCTGGCACTTAGGAAATTCAGAGAAGCACAATGATTAAGAAAAATGGCATTGTATCATTGAGACAGACGTTCCATTTCTTTGTATTGATTTTCATGTTTTCACATCTTCAGATGCGATTGGCAGCATTCCAGGACACACAAATGTCATTAAGGTGACTGCTTTAAACAGTATGATGTTTTATTGCAGTGGACAGGACAACAGATAAATATTTACTCTGTTGCACGTTGGTGGCTTGGTATGGGAGTTAGGGTGGGGGCTGCGCAGCTCTATGGCTCTTCTGTGGCTTCCTAGAAACCTTGGAGATGACCTTGCTGCTCGCCTGTAGAAACACAGTGCCTGCCCTTGGCAAATATTTGTCAGTGTTTCTGAAAGCAGCTCCTGGAAGCCTCTCGTTGCTCAGGCTGCAAGGGCCACCACCACCCATCTTTATTTGTTCCGATATTGAAGAATATAAACTCTCCCTAGACTGGGGGT